TGAGTAAATTTACTGTCAAATCTGTGGCAGAGGCAGCAAGATCTAGAGCATTAAAATACGATTTTTAAGACAAGTTAACTGATAAAAAATAAATAAAAGAAACAAAATAGTAAAACGGAGAAAAAAGAGAGAAAGAAATAATACCAAACCAGGCCGGATGGCCCGGGATTCCTGAGCCTTCGAGATCTCGCCTGTATCAGAACCGGTCCTCTTTGCCTCTCTGATTCGGATGTTGACAAGCAGATCTCATTTGTAAAGGGTTAGATCTAGGGTTGTTGTACTCTAATTCTAGTTTTGATCTGTGTCATAGGTCTAGGTTTTCTCAGTCTTGAGGGTTAGGACTTCAAGAGGCTTGAGTTTCTATCTTCTCTAGGGCTTTCAATCTAGAGATTTTTTTAAAACTGCCAGTCTTTCTCGGTGTCTAAAGGAGAATTTTTTTAGTTTTGTAAGGGTTTTGTCATCTCTAGAGGTTGAATATGAATTCTGAGATTTTCTCTAATTTTTTGTGATTTTTGGGGATTTTTTTTTAAATTTTTAGGAATTTTAACGGTTTTTCCTATTTTTGGTATTTTTGAATAATTTTCCTAATTTCAAAATTTTCTAGGGTTTTTTTTATCTCTTTTTCTCTCTCTTTTGGGTTAGGGAGAGGGGTATTTATAATATTCAATTGTTCATTTTTTCTAAATTTTTTTGGAGTCTTTACGGAATTTTTTTTACTTGTCTTGAAATTTTATCCTTATCTAATTAAGGAAAATATATTTACTGCACCATCAAAGACGTTGACTGCATCATTAGCCAGCATCTGGGCCTGTCGAGCCCGTTACAGCCCGAGCCGCGGGTCTCACAATTGGTTTCATTAAGAAGCATGGATGTAATTTTCAGATTTGGATTATTGCCCTCATGCACTATCTTTTTATTCCCATTTAGAATAAAAGGCTTGAAAACTACCTAATTTAAGGCAAAGAATTCAACCTTTTGACGAAGCATGGAACGTCACAAAATTTGGTACAACTTCTGCGTGGGACCAACTTGAGTTGCTTATTGCTGCCAAAGATTCAAACATCAATAAAATAAAAAGGGTAACAATAGGGGGCTTTGCTTGCAAAGCATGAAGAGAGAATAACGTTGTGGATGATTAATTGTTCTGATACTATGTATTATGAAAAAACAAGAGAAAAAGAGAACAATTTTTCGCAATATACTATGTTTAAGAAAAGACAAGAGAAGAAGAGAACAATTTTACATAATTGGATCGCTTGGACCTACATCTATGGTTGAAGAGTTATTCAATCGTGCAAAATTATTTTATTCACCCAATAATAAATAGAACTTTACAAGATAACAGTAAAATAAAAACAGAGGAAGTACAATAAGAAGATATTTGGTGTCAACAAAAATCTAATATAAAAATAGAAAACCAAAAAAAATATATAAAAAATGGTAGGGCCTGTCTTACAATAAATAAATAAATAATAAAACTAAGCCCGAGATTTCTTGAATAGCACATCATTTACTAGGGCGTCCAAATTGGTTAGAGAAGAGCCTCCACATTGGATTGCCTTCTCAGATTCCTCCTTCCACTTCATGGCCTTCTCTCTCATCTCCTTCCCTTTCTCTCCCTTCATCAACTCTCTCACCTGCGCCTCCACTTCCTCTCTCTTCACATTGTTATCGATCTCCATTCCCACTCCCCATTCCGTGCAAGCAAAGAAACAGTTAGTCTGCTGCTCTGCGAAGAATGGCCAACATATCATCGGGACCCCACCGCTGAGGCTCTCAATAGTCGAGTTCCAGCCACTGTGCGTTAGGAAACCACCCACAGCTGGGTGCTGGAGAACTCGCTCTTGGTCACACCAGCTTGCTAGAAGGCTCCTCTCCTTGGTATCCTCGACAAACGCTTCGGGGATCATGGCGCCCTCGCCACGAACTAGGTCAGGCCGAATGATCCAAACGAAGGGGAGGCCACTGTTGGCGAGCCCCCACGCAAATTCCTCCAGCTGCTGTGGGGTTACTATCTGTTGAAAATAAATCATGAATTGGGCAATGGAAATTAGGGATGAATTATTTAATGGACCATGTTGTGTGGGCAAATAGCATGAACAAAATTTAAGAATCTAAAAAATACTCGAGAACTCGTGTGCAACTAAGTTGGGCCATTTAAAATAGATAAATAAATAAATAAGAAAAGTGGAATCGCTCTATAAAAATTATATATGTAATTTGGATTTGTGTACAATGAAGTGAGTTTTTCTTGTGATGCGCCCTACCTTTTTATATTTTCCTCTTTCTTTGTATTTTTCTTAAACATCTCCAACATAAATGTTTTTTTAAAAAATTTATGGTTTATATATTTTTAATGTTTTTGGATCTTTTATATTGCCTTTGATTTTGTTTCAATTTTAAATATTTTTTTTTAATATTTTGTCTGAATTTATTTTGTCCTTTTTGAACCATGTTCAAGACTCTACCGGATCCACTTGGACTCAGCCAAGTTCCTCACCTCATGCCAATTCCAAGTCTCGCGGTAAGTTAAAAAACACTGGCGGATGAAGTTGTCCAGAATACTTTACCTTACTGAAGAGATTAGACAATATTTACCCCAAAAAAAAAAAATTAATAAAAAAAAGAAAAGGTCTATAGACGATATATACCCAAAAGAATAATTATAGACAGTCATAATCCCACGATTTCCAGACCTGGGAGACATTAATTGGTTGCTTCAATAAAGTAATAATTGATCAAGTAATTAAATATAAGATCACGATTTTCTTAAGCACCAAAACAAAGTAAGCAAGTCTTCAGGGAACTGTTTTGAAATTTCCCTAATTATGTTTCAAGATGCGTAATATCGAAAATTACCGTGATGCTGCCGAAGTTCACATAGACCACAGATCCTGCCGGTTTGTTGTCGAGCCAATCGAGCACGCTAGCGTCAGGGGTCCATAGACTCGAGTCTATCGAGCTCAATTTGGAGTCGGTGATGGCTCGCTTACATAGCATGCTCAGTTGTCCAACTGTGTACAAGGTGGGGACCTTCGCGCGCATGGTGTCAAGCACAGGCTGCTCGAGGGAGTCGAAAGTATTGAGGATGACTGCGGTGGATTTGATGGCGATGAGGGGCTCCTCATTCACGAAATTGAGCATGATATCATCTGTGTCTGTGGTTCGGAGGAAGCTCGGCATGTCCCGGAGCCGTATGGACGGCATTGATTGGATCCAATTGAGGGGCGTCTCTAGGTAGCCGTTGGTTAGTTGGCTAGCATCTGGACATGTGAAAGCAAGGAGAAAATTAGCACGATCTGTGTGCGATACTATAACTTTATTTTCAAGCAATGTACTAATAGCTACACTACCCTATCACCTTATGGTGTCAAAGAAAGTGAGTGGAGGAGCTGCTAGTATAGTATTGGAAACCAAACTTGTATTATGGTATTCATTTCCTAGGTTTTTTTTTTTTAGTCAATACTCTTTCCAATATTTCCCAAAATCAGAAAACATAGAAAAAATTATAAATTAATTTCTTAATTTTATAAAATATTTAAAAAACTTAAATTTGTTTAAGAGCCCTAGACACTAATCAGACAAGTTCGAGTTTGCTCGTCCGAGGTTTCCTTCATGAAACATTGCACCCGAGAAAAGGAATTGGGCAGGGACCCAAAAGAATAGTTCTGAGTACTGTCATGGAAAAGGCTGACCAAAATTACTAAATATGCCAAAAAAACAAATGGAATAACAGAGGCGACCTGTCCAGTAAAAAAAATACCCACTCCATATGCAAAATATGTGCGTGGGCACCATTCAATTGATTGAGAGAGAGAGAGATACTTGGATAGGCCTCTGGGGAAAGGAATTATACTTCAAAGGATACCCAAAGCATGTGAAGAGAAACCACTTGGGATTTCCAGTTTAGTACAAAATCGAGTACTTTCTGAATCTTTAGCGCTAAATAAAAATGACTTCAAACCTCGCATTCTGATCTGGATCGCTAATTTGGACAGAAAATCAGTCGGCATTGAGCTGGTTTAGCCCCATTCCCTCCTAAAACCTGTTTTAAATTCCCAACCTATGAACTCCTATCGTAAAAATGGGACCAACCTAGATAGATCCAAATCGCTTTCCAATGATCCGCCATAGATATGCAGGTGAATGACCCACCCTGCCAAGCTGGATTTCAAAACTTTGGGCGACTGATGTGCAGTCTTAAAAGTATCATTTAGACATCCTTCACTATTAACCCTCCTCCTCTGTCTCGACACTCTTGTCTCTCGCTCAAACAGCTCCACACAAGAAAACCACAAAACAAGAGTTTTCGATGATCATATCATGTATATTCCCTCACCTTTTAAAGGCGTGTACCCTCTCTCTATGAGCTCAGGGTACTGAAGGTAAGCCCATAATCCACAGGCACTCGTCGTCCAAAATGCAACCCTTGGGATCCCAAGCTCATCGGCTAACGTCTGTGTAAAATTCATGACGCCATCCGAAATCACGCAGCTCACAGGCGGCAAATCTTCAGAACTGTTGAGCCTCGCCACAAGCTCCCTAAAAGGATCAAGGCAGCTGAACCTGTAGCAATCATATCAATTTTTAAATAATCAGTATATTAATCTATTTGGTAGGTGAATAAATTTATTGAACAAAATCGAGATACATCTAAAACAAAATCCCAATCACTAATTTGTTATGTGTATTGTGCTTAATGTTGAACTTTTTCTCCTTTAAAGGGTTTTAATTTTCATTTTTCTGTGCAAACCAATGTTCAAATTATTGATGGAGAGAATAGCTAATGAACCACTCTGCTGATTTACCAAAGAAAAACAAATAGCCATAAAAATATTCCCCATTTTCAACGAACCTGGTGTAGTAGCAAAGCTCAGGGATACTCTGCGTGGCCTCGATTTCAATGGGTGGGACGCCATCAGGGATTGACTCGAAGACGAAGCCTTGGACGCCCATCGACGGGTCGGATCCTCTTGATTTGAGGAGCCTCTTGTGATTGTATTCATTGTTGACAAAAGTTATGTGGAAGCCTCTGGCATGGAGGAGCTTGGCCAGCTGCATCATAGGGGTTATGTGCCCTTGCGCAGGGAAGGGTACGCACACAGCATGGGGTTTTTGAACGTAGTCGGAACCCATCTCTCTCTTGAGTTTCGCTAGCAACTTCAAGTCCGAAAGTTTGAGGTTTTGCAGGAAGATTTGTTGGGTTTCTCTAGCAACTTCAATTCCGAAAGTTTGAAATTGTGCAGGAAGATCTGGTTTAACCCACGTATTTATATATATATTGAAAGATTTAATTTTTCAAAAAAGAGACGTTCAACAAAGGCAGAGTCACTCCTTTCAGTAAACATTTGCCACCTTGACATTTGCCAAGTTGACGGTGTGCAGCTCGGTCAGAATGCGCACATTTGACAAGCATAACAGGATACGGCGTATCTTCGTTCGAAGAGAACCGTTTTCTATATGCCAAAAGATTTTGTGCTCTTGAGGGAACCGCAATGTCCATTTACTCCCTCGGGAAAACTTAATCTAAGAGTATGTTTAGGATCGAAAACTTTTTAAGGATCTATCCTCTTCAAAAGATATTATATACTCAATCAAAATAATATTTTTTCAGGTAGAAAACTTTTGGGAGGATTCTTTTGATCCCAAATTATGCGAATCAACTAAAAATCACTACATGATTATATTTGACACTTAATTTCTCTTTCAAATATTGGACGATTTTGATTCTTGAGGATTTATTTTTTTTAAGATCATGGAAGATACAATTTAAAAAATTATTTTCATTGAGTATATAAGGACACGGTTTCTATGAGTCCAGGGACTCACATGTAGAAATGTAGGCTCTTTAATAATTTATTTTTAAAATAACATTTTTAAGGGAATATATAATAATTAACATAGAGATTATTAATCTGTAAAAATAAATAAATTGAATAAATAAATTTTCAATTTTAAAGATGATATTGTTTAGAGAAAATATTTGAATTGTTGCTTGTACTTTTTCTTTTGAAGAATATTATTTACGGGGAACCACTTTTGGCGGAGCGGGCGTGTACGCGCCAGACAAGTGTTGCATTACCCTCCCTTCGGAGCATGGAGTTCACGTTATGTAATTCATGCACATAACATAAAGTACAATTTGGCGACGCTGACCTTGAAAAAGAGAGGCGTCTACGAAATGATTGAGCTTGTACGAAAATTGTTGATTACCTCTCACTCGCTTTGTAATTGTGTTTTTTTTTTCTTTTTTAACCCGTTGGGGTTAGAATTTTTATTTTTTTAAAAAAACCAATGCCCCCTTTTTAAACCTGCTCTCTTGATATGGACTCCTAGTGTATTAGGTCATCCTCTTTGTACAAATTCGATAGAAACATTGGTTTAGAGGGGACATTTTTGTGATAATAAAATAGCTCTTTTACTTGGAGGTGAAGATGCAGATGAAAAAGAAAAAAGAGAAGAACAAAATTGTTTTAGGCTTAGTAATGTATTTTAAAAAGTATGGGCCAGACTGGCTTCTTTGTATAAATCCGAGAGACACATGAGTTTAGAGTGGAGCTATTTTCGTTATAAAGAAATAATTATTTTACTTAGGGATAGATGAAAAGGAAAACAAAAAAGAAAAATATTCGACATCAGTTATGTGGTTTAACAAATAGTTGGTAGTGCATATTTAGAAAGTTAGGCTAAGGGATATCTATAATTTTCCTTAATTCATTTTATATAATTCACAATAAGCCAATTGAGCCCAACTTTTTTTTATCACTTCTTCACTATTTGCTTGTCTCTATTTGTTTTCTTTATTCTCTTTTATTTATTTATTTTAAAAAAAAATTCATTCAACCCTTGTAATACAAACATGCATAAGATAAAATGAAAGAAAATTGTTTCATGCAGGATGGACCTCAACTACATATGCGGACAAAAAAA